ACAAGACTTGTATTAAGCTTTTTGGCCAAAAATTTTTATTAAAAAATCAGAAATAAATTTTTCATTAGACACGTCAAAAAAATCGTGATTATGACGCACCACTAGATAGATTGCGATTAGAATTAAATAGTCAAAAAAATTATTTCAGTCATTCAGTAATTACAAAGTTCAATAAATAAGTTTTCGATATACAAGAAGATATTTTATAAATGTGTCTAAAAAATGGTGTTTTTTTGAGAGTTGTTACCGCACGCCGTGCGTGAAACATGTTTTTCCATAGTTGGCACTTTAACGTTTACAGGTTAGGACCAAAAACATTAATTAATTAATAGTGTGTGCGTTTAATTAAATTTTTGATTAAAATGGCCTGTAAAATTAGGTTGGCCACAATGAATAATATATAGTCAATTAAATAGGTATCTTTCATTTTGATATTGTAACTTAAGTATATTTCATAAAATTTTATTGTACATCTGGTATACCAACAAAAAACAAAGTTTGCAACATCTAGATACCTGTTCGAATTTGTATTTACATTTCTTTATACTTTAGGCATATAAGTTGTGAGACACTGTATATATGGAGTAGTGAAATGAAACGAAATATGGATCACTTAAAAAAGTTTCTAGAACAATACAATAAAAGTTTCATAAAAATAACATCAGTTGTTTTTGTGCTTTAAGAATATAGGCGGAGAAACAAACAAGCTGGCAGATATTCTACTACTGGAGGTGATTATTGATTTTACATCCATACAATCACTGCTAATTTTTTTACAAAACGATGTATGGTCGCACGAGGGACAGAGTGCACTAATAGATGTGCATTTTGTATGATATTTTTTTATTTAAGATTATTCACTGATGAAGTTTGCACATGTTATGTGTTTTCAAGTAAAAAACGTCTCAAATTTAATTTTAATTTTATATTCGTTGATATTCCTGAAGCCCTTATAAAGATAATTAAATAAAGAAAAAAGAGATTTTACTGGGGATTGTCCTAAATCCTGCACAAACCGAAGTCACAAATTGCGTCAGTTATGAAAAAAAAAAAACAACCCTCGCATTTTATGTCACAAGTAAGAGTACTCTTCCAGTTGTTACCTAATAATACAGGGTGTCCGGAAATTACATGCTCAAACTTCTAGAGGTAATTCCATACCCCAAAATATAAAGAAAAGTTCCTATGAATATGAGTCCAAAAAAGCTTTCTTAGAAGGTCCTGAAGATGAGCCTTTAAATGTGCTTTTTTTAATTATTTTTGTTAATATTTAATCAAAATTAATTGTTATGATTTGAAGAACGCCAAATATGTTTTTTATTCATTACATGGTTTCATTACCTCAGTTTGTTGACATAAAAAATGGGCTGTATCCCGAAAACGGTGCCGTCTACAACATTTTACCACAAGGACATTTTTTATGAAAAAGGTATTTTGTATCTTATTACGCTATTAAGTTTACAAAAAATCTTGAGAAAAAAATATTGAGCGATTTTTGCCGCAGTCCCTCTTATCATATTCATCGAAACTTTTTTTCTTATTTTGACCTAAGGAATCATCCCACGATATATTGTAACTTTTTTTTTTGGACATCCCTGTATACTGAGTGATTTTAAAGTATGTACAAATACACTGGCCGCCAAAATTAACCGGACAACTAAAATTGTGCAATTTTTCACATTGCAATATTTTTGTTATTTTTTGTCGGATTTTGACAAATTTTTGTTCGGTTTAAAGAATGAACTTTGTAGAACATTGTAATTTTATTCAATAACATTTCTACTTATGTTATACCTAAAAGATGAAATCACTGTTTTTTAACTTTTTTTTTATACTGAGCTGTAGTGTGCAACAGAGACAAAATTAAGTTTTTACTTATTTCAGATTATTGTCCGTTCTTTTCTGAATGAGGACCAGTTTGTTTCAAAATTTTATCTTCTGGTGCCCCAGTGATAAAATACATTGAAAAAAAAACGTTACTTTTCTAATGTTACTAATTACATATTAGGCGAAAATGGTAGTTAAACCGAAAATTATTCCTTATGTCACCAAAAGAGCACAATTACTTCTTTCAACACAAAAAATCTGAAAAATTTGGTACTTCAAAGTAGTATTACAATAAGTAAAACGATTAATTATTGGAAGCTTCCATGCGCCTATTTTGACGTTTTAGCACATTCTGTCTCTTAATATGAACATTTATTAAAATTGGAGATGTAATGCTTTTTTTGAAGGTTTATATCTCATATGTCCCAAGAATTAAAATTAGGACAAATGTGGTACATAATTCAAAAAAGAATGAGCAATAATCAGCAATCAGTAAAAACTTAAGCTTGTCTCTGTCGCACACCACATGTCAATATAAAATTAAGTAAAAAAACAGTGCCCTCGTCCGACAAAAAATAACAAAAATATTTCAATGTGAAAAATCGCAAAATTTTAGTTGGCCGGTTAATTTTGGCGGCCAGTGTATTAGAACAAGTTTCATTACATCTCAAATGAAGTCAAAATAACGAAACTTGTCTTATCCGAATGTTTATAGTTTCTGAGATATAGAGAGTACAACCTCGGAAAAGTTTGGAAATGCAATATAAACGAAGCTTAAACCTTTTGAGTACTTTATCCCAAAGTTTACATTGCAAGTTGTCGGTAACATTTGAGGTAAATTCCATGCTAAGTTCAACAAAATTGCAAATTTTTTACCGTTGTATGTTTTTTTTATTTGAGGACATTTTTATCTGTACCTGTTTTTGCTAATTTTAACTCATTTAAAACAATATAATATACAGGGTGTTCCGTCTAAATCCCACTTTAGAAGTATTGGGAGTTGCAATAATCGTATTTATTTGAAAATTGGTACATAGCCATAAACCATTAAGTCCTCCTAAATGCAAATATTTTCAAGATGGCGGCACTTCCGCTTATACCGGAAGTCGGTCTCAACATTCTTATTTTAAATGGAAAGGTTTATTTTTTACAGCGTTTTTGGATTAATTGGGTTATTTTAAGGGAATTTTCATCAGCTTTCCCTATACCTAAATTTAGCCGTTTATGAACTATTTGGACTTTTTTAAAAAATTTTGGATTTGCACCTTCCACTTTAAAAACCGGTAACTCTGCTATTTTTTAAAATTTTGAATTCGTTTTTTTGGCGTTTGAAAGAGAAAGCTTAGATCTTTCTTTCGGTGTTTTAAATTTTTAAAAAATTAACAAACCATAAAATTTTAAGGTTACTTTTGTAATAATTCAAATACCCATAACTCATTTTTTTCAAATGAAATACCCCTATTTTTATTATACAAAAAGGGGGAGAATTTAATTCTGTATCGATCTGTATTAACATTCCTTAAACCTAAATTTAATAATTTTTAAGTTATGGTGACTTTTTGTTAAGACTGTCGAAAATCTATTACGTTTTCGTATAGTTTGTTATGGAAATCAAAAATGTCAAAATTGTTTCTCAATAAATGTCGACAGTGACTTATTATTTGACAAATAGTGCCAAAATATGGAGAGTCAAAGCTACTCAAACTTAGATTTAATTAATTTATTTTGTATTTATGGAGAGTGTAACAAAATTATGATATCGTTCATTAAACAAAAATAAACTTTTCTCACTTGCTAGCTTTAAATAATGATTGCATGGTAGAATCTATCTATAATAATTAAGTTTGCATAACTTTGATTCTCCATATTTTGGCACTATTTGGCAAATAATAAGTCACTGTCGACGTTTACTGAGAAACAATTTTGACATTTTTTATTTCCATAGCAAACTATGCGAAAACGGGTATGGCTAGTAATAAATTTTCTGTAGTATTAAAAAAAGTCCATAACTTGAAAATTATTAAATTTAGGTATAGGGAATGTTAATACAGATCAATGCACAATTAAATTCTCTTCTATTTTGTAAAATAAAAATTGGGGTATTTCATTTGAAAAAATTGAGTTTTGAGTATTTGAATTATTACAAAAGTAACCTTAAAATTTTGAGATATGTTATTTTTTTTTCAAAATTTAAAAACACCAGAAAAAGGATCTAAGCTTTCTCTTTCAAACGCCAAAAAAAGGAATTTAAAATCTAAAAAAATGGCAGAGTTACCGGTTTTTACAGTGGAAGGTGCAAATCCAAAAATTTTTGAAAAACTCCAAATATTTCATAAACGGCTAAATTTAGGTATAGGGAAAGCTGATGAAAATTCCCTTAAAATAACCCAATTAATCCAAAAACGCAGTAAAAAATATGCCTTTCCATTTAAAATAAGAAAGTTGAGACCGACTTCCGGTATAATTTAGGAGGACTTAATGGTTTATGGCTATGTACCAATTTTCAAATAAATACAATTATTCCAACTCCCAATACTTCTAAAGTGGGGTTTAGACGGAACAGCCTGTATTTTGAAGAGGTAACCTCAGAGATCACGTTTGTTTAGAACTTGAGTCGCTAAGACTTAAAGACTGCGCCCCAAATTTAAATTTATTTGACAAATTAATCATCAAAATTTCTCATAAATTTGTTATTAGGCCACTAAAATCAAATATTGTGACTAACGCTGGCTATTGTTGCAACAAGTTGGTTCAAGTTTTTTCCTCTAATTGGCGAATGCAGTTGTAAAAATAAAGAAATTACGCGGAAACTTTTCCACAAACGAGCTTAGCAAAACCTTTTATAGAAAGCCGTATTTAGAAAAATAAAACTTTGCAGATACTCGCCTGGTTTTCTTTATAGACGAAGAATAACAGCCCACACGGTATTGATTAGTAATGGCAAAGCTTCGTTAAAAGGAAGGATAGTAAATCAAAGCAGCTCATCTAAATCCTCTCTAGCGACACTACTATTTTCATCATAGCCCGTATTTTGCACGAAAAGCTCCTTAAAAATGGTCGTAATTTTAGTTCACTTTCATCATGTCGGATTAGCGTACCCGAAACTTTTGCGAAATTAATTTAATTTTCCAAATAGTTTGAGATTTGCGTTTGAATCGAACATAAGTACTCACATTGGACATTCAAGAGAACTGAAGCGTTGAGTGGCTGTTCAAGCGCGATGTGGTGTACGTAACAGGTCAAAGTAGCATTATGGTGAGCTCTTTGCACCCTCGCTAACCTAGCGTCGTTCCTAGCACCAACTTTTTGATCCCGAATTGTTTCGGTGATGTTGAGAACGTCAAGAGGCACCTCTGGGGCATCCAATAAAGCCAACGAGCCCAAGTTGAGTTCCCAGGACAGGGAGGGCTTGGGGTTGCCCTCGTCCACAACGCAGGACACTGTGAGTTCAGCGTTCTCCTTCACGGGAATGAAGGGGTTGCCGGGGTCCAAAATCCTGTTGTCGATCATGAGATACGCCTTCTTCGGGGAGTCTGAAACGGAAATCAAGTGTCAGAAGCGACCAGGAAATGCGCATTTGGAGAAATAAAAGCAATTATCTTTATTGTGTATGCAGTTCAGGTTGGGAACTTTACCTTGTCGACGATTTTACGCTAAACTATGCTGCAACATGAGGGGATGTTCTTAGCCTTTATGCGACTTTAGACGTTTTCTTGTTGTTAAACGAGTTGAAGAACTAGCGTCGTTGGGACGTGCGGATTATTAAAATGACCCAAATGCCACTTTCGGAGGTAACATAAAATGTCAGTAAAGGATTTTAGTGAAAAGTATGCGAAAATAAATTTCGGGACCAATTGTTTAAAGCGATTTGTATGTTTCCATACTCGTTTCTTTTTGTGGGATGATCATTTACTTTAACGATATCGTCTGAAATACCTCTGGAAAGGTTTTATAACTGCTATGGCGGCCACTAAAACCAAATTGTATTTCAGAATAGTTTCCGGAATATGAAATGTTTGAATTGTTTCCATTGATTTTTGATAATTACATAATTTTGTATTGTCTACAAAATAGGACCGATTTGCTCAAGTAGCCAAACTGAATCAAGCAAAACGCTTGTAATAAAAAGACGAAATTATTTCATTATTTATTAATTTTATTATGTATGATCAATGTTGCAAAATATTTGAGATTATTTTTTTAATTCCGTGTTAACTCATTTTAACAAAAAAAATTAAATAAAGTACCACAGTATTGAATGAAATATATAGGACTTATTACTGCAAAAGAAAGCCACATTAATATACATATCAAAATTTATTCTGGAATAAATTTATTTGTCGATTACATTTTACGTATATAAGTGGAAATTCTTCCTTCTCCTATGCAACTCAACAGTTGCAAAATAATTTTTGTATAGTAAAACAATAATTAATTTTTTTTTTAACGTGTAAAGTTAAATTTATTTCTATTTATTTATTCTAGATAATAACCAAAAATCTATCAACGGTTTAAAAAAAATTTTGAACCAGAAACAAAAAAAAAACGAGTGTTTATGTATTTTTTTTAGTTACATAGGTAACTACTCACTTTTAATTTTTGTCAAAGTTCTGAATTTTTTAACTTGCTGGTTGCAAAGTGTTAAAAAATGTTACTGGTCTAAAGTTTTCCAGTTTTTTTTTCACATGACTGTAACTAGAGCTTAAAACAATACTTTTTTATCACCAAGCGTGGCGATAATTTATCGAGGCAAAGCCGAGATGAAAAAAACGTCATGTGATAATAAAAACGCTTTTTCGCCTTGTGTAAGATTTTTTTGAATTTCGTTGTAAAATGAATGAAACTGTAAAAATTGCTAATGAGTCGAATCTAGAAATCTAGAAGACTGCAGCAATTTGTGTCAATATCAACGAATTTTTAATAATTCTTGAGGTTTTCGAATTAAAGTTGCGCTTTGTTTGTTTCAAAATATGGTGTCATAGAAAAAATGTAAAAAAAGCAAACCAAAAAAATGTTTTCCTACGACCATATACGAAACTAGATCATAACGCACAATTACATATGCGCGAAAATTGGCAATATCGTACGAGGTCAAAAACCAGTGCGATTTGTTTCGCACTGTGTGTTAGAAATCTAACGCACAATTCACACTCGAATGTTTTGTATTTTTTCATTTAACGTATTTTTTTTTGTATCCATTATAAAAAAAAAATATGTTCGTAAGAAAAAAATTATTTATGGTCGTAGGAAAAATAGTGTACAAAACTTGCAGGAAAGTGTCTAACACACGCGCGGTATTGCCTGCACTCGGCTAACGCCTCGTGCGCAACTTTCCCGCTTGTGCGTTATTTATCACTTTCCGTGCTCGTTATGTAATATACTATTTCTACGATTATTATAGAATAACAATATTCTTAACAATTGTCAAGATTCCTAAATTTTCGTCTTTGAATTAAGTCGTAGAAAAAATATAGTTTGGCACTCGCAATGCTGTCACTAACTTTTCCACTTGTGTAAAATATGGCATACCGGGTGAACAAAAAGTATGGAACCAAGCGTTTTTTCGGAAAAATGTTTATGATAAATAGATGTTTCTTGATGTTTTTGTCTTACTTTACTACAAGAAATGTCATTTTGCAATCAGTTACAAAAAGTAAAAGTATTTAACATTTTATTATATTTTACTTACAAAAAGATTGACTTTGCAAAATTACAATGATATTCAAAAAGTTAACTTTTTACAATAAATTCAAAAAAAATGTTATTGTTCAAAAGCGTATATCTTTTTCTTTCAAGTAGCAATTTTTTTACATTTAATTAAAGTACAATTTGAATTCTCAATTAATTTAACTCTTTTAACTTTTATCAGTTATCAACGCAAAAAAGTAATTTGATTTTTGTAAATCGTCTTGGTTTTTCAGTAGCTATTCTTAGTTGTGCAATAGTAAAGCTTTAAAAACAGTGTTTTGTAGAAAAAAAAAAACAGGAATGAAATTTTAGTTTAAACAATCAGTATTTAAAGCCTTATAAAAAATATAGACAACATTGAGTGTTTTATTCGATTATCTAGATGGTAACTCATTTCTGAAACATCCTGAATAGTTGTAAATTATAAATTATGACCAAACTGTACGTGAATTACCCTTGTAATAATTTTTTTTCAAAGTCAACACAACCAATTACCAATGCTTTTTAATTTAAAAATTCGATCAAAATTAGGGCCTGAAACATTTACTTTCAGGTAACAGCTTTAGAAGTTATAAAGTTTGAACCCTCGGAGCAATTTTAAACTTAAAATTAGCACAAGAAAACATGTATTTTTGTTAAATAAGAAGTAGAATTCGTAAACCAAAGTCAAGTTTCACAACCACAAACCACAGTGCAACTTCAAGCAAATCACACTTTGCAGTTCCGACATTCCTCCTGTTAATCGTTCAAGCAGTGTAACGGTCACAGGTGGGGTCAACAGTAATAACACATTTCCGGTAATTTCGCCTAGCACGGAAAGGATCTCTTATCGTTTTAGTAAACGTTCTGCCCTCTCTGACATTTGCTACAATGACACCATTTGTGTTTTCAATGGTACGTCGATATTACCTTACTTCTTTAATAAAGAAGCAAATTTCAGATAGAGTGGTTGAAATTAATTAAATACAGGGTGTTTACGGTCTTGAGGTTGAAATTTAAATGAGAGGATATTTACGTTAGAAGAAAACTAATACGCTATATAAAACAAAAATTCACGTTGTTAAAGGAAATTATTCATTTTACACTATTTGTTTGAGAACTGCTGCTTCGGCTGCAACAATGGCCATTACCGTAAATCATAATCACGACAACTAATTTATTATTTTAATATTTTGCCATAAATAAATTTAGAGAAAAATTAAGAAAAACGAATCAAACCTATTGGAAACAATTCGCTAAAAGAGATTAAACAGAAGATCTTCGAATTTTGATAAAAACTAAAGCAAAAGCAAATCAAATGATGACAGTGTCAAAACGATGAAGTGACTTTTCTCTTTAATTTTCATGGATACGATTTTTTTATCTGTTGCAACAATACAATTTTATCTGAACAAGGAAATAATTCCAGTGACCCTCAAACCGTGTACCAATATTTTGGAGTTAAATAACATTCTTAATAATAACAATTGTGTGAGTTTTTTTCTCTGTTAAAGTATTATTCTATTACCAGGTCAATTTTCAACTCGAAGACTGTAAACACCTTGTATAAAGATGAAAGAAGACAAAAGACTAATTCGATGTCGTTTCAGACCAACCACTATTTTTTCATTAAGGACGAACTGCACAGTCTACAGAGCAGTAATGTTTCATTTGAAACCGCATACACACTTCTGGAAATTAATGTTTGCACTCATACTAATTAAAGCCGAGATGAGGTGACGAGAACAAAATGCCACTCTCTACTAACTCATTTGTTGCGTCCTCAAGAAAACTGCTTAACCCTTTTAAATTGCAACAACCCACTGCTTTAGTTATGTGGCCTTCTAAAGTATGTAACAGGTGTTTATTTAAATTTCGCGTCATAGCTGGTGGTGATATGAGTGTGTTGTGAACGAACCACAATTTTTAATGCGTCAAATATCAGATTACTAACTTTCATTGTGATGGTTAAAATTTAAATTTAAATTTATTCGACGAACAAAATCCTCTCTCTGAGAAACTATAGACATTTGCATAAAACAAGCTAAGTTATTTTGATTTTTTTTTGAGCTATACGGAGTGAATATAAAGCATGGAACCACGCGATTTTTTTAAATCATTTGCCTCCAAAAAATAATATTTAATATAAAAAATTGTGAACGTATTTTGAGAACGAACCTTAGCTTAGTTTTTGAGTTACGCGATTTTTTTATCAATTTTTTTTTAAATTAAATATAAAGTAGATAGTTGTAATCGTTACATTATAACCTTTATGAGAAAAATGGATTTATAGTGGGCTGTCAATTAAAAAAATTTTTTTTTTGTAAAACTCAAAAACTAAAGAAAATTCCAAAAGAATTTATTCTTGATAAACATCACATTTTTACTTTATCATGACAAGAACAAAATGCCACTCTCTACTAACTCATTTGTTGCGTCCTAGAAAACTGCGTATCCCTTTTAAATTAGGACAACCCACTGCATAAGTTATGTGGCCTTCTAAAGTATGTAACGGGTGTTTATTTAAATTTGACGTCATAGTTGGCGGTGATATGAGTGTGTTGTGAACGAACCACAATTTTTAATACCTCAAACATCAGATAAATAACTTTGATTATGATTATGGTTAAAATTAAAATTTATTCGACAAAGAAAATCCTCCCTCTGAAAGACTATAAACATTAAGATAAGACAAGTTAAGTTATTTTGACTTTTTTTGAGCTATATAGGGTGAATATATGTTATAAAAAAATTATAATTAATATATATTATAGTAATATAAAAAAAAATTGTGAACGTATTTTGAGAACGAACATTAGCTTAATTTTTGAGTTACGCGATTTTTTTGTCAATTTTTTTTTTAAAT